CCTACCCTAACCCCTACCCTTTAACCATATCCCCTACCCCAACCCTACCCCAATCCCCTACCATAGCCTTTAATCTTTTCCCCTACCCTAACCCTTAACCCTAACCTTTAACCCAATCCCCTACCCTAACCCCTATCCCTATCCCCTAGCCCCTAGCCTAAACCCTTACCCTAGTCCCTACCGTACCCCCTAACCATATTCCTTAACCCTATCCCCTAAACCTAACCCCTAGCCCCTAACCTTTAACCCGAACCCCTACCCTAACTCTAACCCCTAAGCCTAAACCGTTACCCTAACCCTACCATACCCCCTAACCCTAGCCCTTAACCCTAGCCCTAACCCAGCTCCATGTGGGGCCGAGTGGCACACAGGGTAGATGTTTCAGAGATGGACTGGCCCTGTGGGTGAGTGGGCTGACGGGCAGGGAATTGACCCCTGCCACTTGCTGTCCTCTCTGTTTTACAGCCTTCATCTTTGCCCTCATTGCCTCAGCCATAAAACAGCATGGGAGGCGTTGCGGTGGACGTGGGCGCGGGTGGTGTGAAGGCTCCAGATGGAGGATGGGGCTGGGCCGTGCTGGCGGGCTGTTTTCTCATCACTGGCTTCTCCTACGCCTTCCCCAAAGCTGTCAGCGTGTTTTTCAAAGAGCTGATCAGGGAGTTTGGTGTTGGATACAGCGACACTGCCTGGATTTCCTCCATCCTGCTGGCCATGCTCTACGGCTCAGGTAGGCCACCTTTTGTTTGCCCTATGCAAAAGAGAAATGTGTGGTTCAGTGTAACATCCGAAAAGATGGCTCTGTGTGCTGGGATAGACTGGCCGCTTGTCCAGGGCTGTAGCAGGGGGAGTCGGCTTTGTTCAAACGTTTAGAATGTTCAAGCCATACCTGTTTAATCTATATTCCTTTCTGTATGTATTAAGTAAATGTGATGGCATGAAGTGAGAGTAGAGGGCCAGAGAGCCTGAGCCAGACCTGACCTCTGTATGCAGGTCCTCTGTGCAGCGTGCTGGTGAACCGCTTCGGCTGCCGGCCTGTGATGATGGTGGGAGGCCTGTTTGCCTCTTTGGGGATGATCCTAGCCTCCTTCTCCACCAGCATCATCCACATCTACCTTACAGCTGGAGTCATCACGGGTTAGTCTGCCTTCCCTAACGTCTGAAAGCAGACCTGTGGATGCAAAAGCATTATTTCTGTGTAACTAGAAAATTCTACTTGAATTCACATGGAATACAGTTTTCCCATCAGGGCTTCTAAACTGCTGGTGAGGCTTAAGCCCACCAGGGAAGATTAAGCCTCTTTACAGATATATGGATGGTTTTCATTGGTTGTTTCTTTTCATTAGGAGAGATTTTCCCCCTTTTCTATAGCGCCACATCACAACAACAGTTGTCTCACTGCGCTTTCTAAACAGAGCAGGTCAGACCCTACTCTGAATTTAATTATAGAAACCCTTTGTTCTCTCATGTGGCTCTTAGTAACTCATTTATATATTTTTCCATTATAGCGTCCGATTACAAAAAGGTCCTCTTTAGGAAGTTCAAAGCTACAATCTGAGCCCAGTTCATTGAAAAACAATCCTGATCACATCAAATTCATTCTAATGTAACATTGGTCCAATTCATAGAGATCACATTCAAACGTTTCCTCCCTAAGGAATCCAAAACATGACCGAATCCAGATCTGGAAAAAGCAGGAGATAACCCCACCTGTTGGTCCTTTGTTCCAGGTCTGGGATTAGCCCTGAATTTCCAGCCATCTCTGATCATGCTGAATCGATACTTCAGTGAGAAGCGTCCTCTGGCTAACGGCCTGTCAGCGGCTGGGAGCCCCGTGGCTCTGTGCTGCCTGTCTCCTCTGGGCCAGGTCCTTCAGTACCAGTATGGCTGGAGGGGTGGCTTCCTCATCTTAGGGGGGATTCTGCTGAACTGCTGTGTATGCGCAGCCCTAATGAGGCCTTTGGTTCCTGCAAAGAGCCTCAAGTCCCACGATTTGGGACAGGCTGACAACGAGGAGTCAGATGGGGAACAAGAGCAGAAGAGAACGGTCAAACCCAAGCTGCTGGATTTCTCTGTGTTCAAAGACTGTGGCTTTGTGATCTACACTGTGGCAGCCTCCATCATGGTGCTGGGGCTGTTTGTGCCCCCAGTCTTTGTTGTGAGCTATGCTAAGGAGCTTGGGAACGAGGACACCAAGTCCGCCCTGCTGCTGACCATCCTGGGTTTCATAGACATCTTTGCACGGCCTACTTGTGGGGTGATTGCCGGCCTGAAGTGGGTGCGGCCTCGCTGCATCTACCTCTTCAGCTTCGCCATGATTTTCAATGGAACAACCGACCTGATTGGCTCTCAGGTGGGTCAACGCCTGCCAAGTATTAGCTGTGAAGAAAGTAAAGGATCTCACTTGATCCAGGTCTGGGGCTGTCCTCCCATCACAGTGTCCTGCTTGTTCCCAGGCCAATGACTACACATCGCTGGTGGTCTTCTGCATCTTCTTTGGCATCTCCTATGGGATGGTGGGCGCGCTGCAGTTTGAGGTGTTAATGGCAATCGTTGGGACCGAGAAGTTCTCCAGTGCCATTGGCCTTGTCCTGCTCATGGAGGCTATTGCTGTTCTGGTGGGACCACCCGGTGCAGGTAAGTTTAACAGTGCACGCCGGTCCGTTTCCTGCCTCTGTGCTCATTACAAACAGCCCAGCTGTCAGACTCTGCTCCCCTCTGGGCTGCAGGTTTTAGAGGTTTTCCCTGTTTCACACACCTGATTCACATCAGAGAGCCATCAGCAAAGCTCCCCAACCACCAGAGGAGATCCAGTTTAATCACAACCAGGAAGACCTCTGAAACCTGCAGGACGGCACCCCAAAGGGGACCGGAGCTCTAAGACCTGCAGGACAGCACCCCAAAGGGGACCGGAGCTCTAGAACCTGCAAGACAGCACCCCAAAGGGGACCGGAGCTCTAAAACCTGCAGGACAGAACCCCAAAGGGGACCGGAGCAGGACAGCCTGGCTCACAGTGCTGCTCATGCATGGGCCGACTGGCTCTGGCAGCT